ACGTCATATGCTTCGTTGATCTGATTGGTTTATTTGGCCCGTCTATCACCAACATAGGCCAATCAGCTAACCAGTATTTTTACCCCTTCCCAAAATTACTTCAACGGAAGGTTTCCAGATGCATATAAGCGGAGCAAATCTATCTGGCGGAGTCAGGTTAAGTCAAAATTAAATAAAATTTAAATTATAACTCAAGAAAACTGAAAAATTCATCTGTAAAAAATTTGAGCATTTTTTTTATTTGAAAAAACATTTAGCAGATGAAAACTGGGATCCTATCTCAATCCCACTAAAGCTATCACCTTATTGTTTTTACATAATTAGTAAAACAGAATTTGTAAAGAAAAAACATGAAATAGATCCAAAGGACTTATCAGTGACCATGTCTGTTATCATCATATCATCATAAGAATTTCTTTGAGTGTTATGTCTTCAGTACAGGGGCCTTAACAGGGGCCAGGACATGATCTACAGGGGCACTAGCCTCCATTAGCCCCTGTCTAGAACCACCCATGCGTACGCTACATACGGTGGCTAACTTTTTCGGCTTTGGATATTAACATAAATCTAGTCCTTTTGAGTTTTATGTTTTTATTTCATGTTAATATTATGCTATAAAGTGTGTAATCTAAAGAAAGAAACAACTAAAATGCAGATAAACACGGTTTAATCATATTTTGCCGGACTGCTCTGAGCATGTCCGTTGATGACGTCAGAGAAGCAGTTTAACGAAGAAAAGGTTAAAAGCATCAAAACTGTCTCACAAAAGACATTTTTTAAAGCTGTGTAATAGCATTCTTTAGAGAGTTAAGGATAGAAATAAGTAATTTTAGTACCATAATTACATTATTTACGGACACCCGGTTGTATATCTGTTGGCCCACAGATCGGTAGTGACAGTCCTTTGTCATTAGCAATTATGGGTTAATCGGTTATAGCAATCTGTACAGTGTTTATAAATCAGTCCTAACTTGTCTTTTAAATTCTTAATGTTTCTTTATCTAAAAATTATTCTTTTTAAATCTGTTTGCCAAAATCCTACCAATAAATTAAAACTGGCAACTTCATTGACGCTAACATAACTGCCATGACGCAGAAGGTGACGTAAAAAGTTCAACAAGATAACTACTTCTATTTTTGATTCAAATAAGAGCCAAAACTTTCATATAGTAACAGCTTACAGTTCAACTGTAATTAAATAGCACTTTGTGAGACCAACTTCTTTTAACGGCTATGATCCTGGGTTTCAGTATCGTAATGATCTCATGCCATGAAATGTCGTTACACCGTTAAATGATACCAAAACAAACATCCACAAACACATGAATATGGTGACGACACCACAACTAAAGTGAACGGTAATGATGATAATAGATGCATACCCTGTAGGAATCGGACACTACGTAGCACTCAGGCATCCCAGGAGCTCTGGAAGGTTCTTCGTTCAACAGAAAGGACTCCGTTGCCTGAAATGTAACACAGAAGTTATTCATTTATTCACGGATGGAGCCTTTTAAATCACACAACTTAAATAGAGGAAGAAAAAAACTGTTTGCAAGGCTGCAGAATCAGATTAATGAAATCCTCCTTATCCCTCTTGACCTATATATCCCCCTCTCACCCCTGTCCCATTCACTCACTCCAAGCCCCACCAGCAGACTCTCCTTTCATCTTTGCATTCCAGACTTGTTCACGTGTGCAGATATTGTGTGCTGCCCGGCTCTGCCCATGTGCAGCGCAGGCCAGAGGCCTTGCCCTGTCAGCCGCCAACTCTTACTGAGAGGAAAAGTTTTTCGCTGTGGCACCGTCGTGCAATACTCAGACACAATGGCATTTCCTGTGCCCTGCTATTTCACCTGCATGCTCACTTTTCTGTCAGCGTCCACTGACTCAGCACAAGTTTACCCACATAGCCTTACTTTGCACATATTCAGCTAAATCACATCCACTAGTCATTTACTAAAGTTTTCACACCCCTTTAGCTTTTGTTTTGATTTGATTTTGGTTTTACCCATTAGATCTACCCAAACTAGCGCAAAATATACCTGAATTAAAAACCAGACATTGTTTTCTTATTGTTTTATGGTTTTAAATCTGAAAAGGGTGACATACATACATTCTGCTGTTTTTGTTTAATATTCAGCAATAATTATGCGTGTTAAATCTCCATTTCAGTCAGTATCCTACTAAAGTTTCAGAGGATTAGTAGTCAACATTTATGAACTAAGACAACAATCATAAAAACATACTCAAGATCCAATGTCACATGTATCAACATATTCTCATTATCAGTTCGTATGAAATCGTACAAAAAAGTTATGCACACTATTTCGTACGTTTTGGACGTTTTTCTTCAAAAAACCAGATCAGTGCGCATGCGCTGGCAGACAGAAAAAAAAGCAGATCCGCGGACGGACATAAAACTGGGAAAAACAGTGCAATCATCACTTATTCATGTCTCTAACTACGTTGCTTGCTGTTTTATATCTTAGGGTTAGGGTCAGGATTAGGGCTAATTGTAATTTATATTCTATATTCGTGAATAGTGCGTCAGATGCGCATACGACGAAAAAAACGTCCAAAACGTACGAAATTACGGTGCATAACTTTTCGTACGATTTCATACGCACTCATAATGAGAATAGGTTGCATGTATCTATGAGTTGAAAAGCATAAGCAGACAAGCATAAATCCTAAATTTATTTACAAATTCAGACACTTATGCATACATTTTTATTGACAGTTATCTTACCCCATAGTGAACAAACAGCCTCATGAAGATTACAACAAACAGGTATGGAACAATAATAGCCCAATAAAGGGATATCTAATTAAAAATCATCAACCAGTAAAGGTCTGGAGACATTTTTAATTATAATCTGTTACTTTAAACAGAATTTAACACTGAAATAAAATGAGGTGTTTTTTTTATTTTCTGACTTGATGAGAGCAGTGGGCTTTATGCTGCCCTACAAGGCTTTAAACCTGGGTTTGAATGGAGACAAAGCCGTTCTAAAGCACATATCAAGGTGCTCATTTCGAGCCTGGATCCATATTTATTTTTGATTCTGTTCATGGTGGAGAATCCTGCTTCACAGCAGCAGGTTGAGCCAAACATCCTCTAAATGTTCAGGGTCATCTTTGAGCACCATTTCACTTTTCTTTCACCAGTTCACCACAGTTCTTCCAGCAGTCCACACTTTCTCTGCTCTCTTTTTCTCATCATCTTCTCTTTCTTTCCCATCGCTCGGCTTGCCACAGATTTGCCTGCTGTGTCTAAAAGTAGCAGCAGCAGCAACCCAGACTGATGCAGCTCATTGGCTAATTTTTATCACGTGCAGCCTGGTGCCGGACGCTCTGCAAGGCTTTACCATATTAACAGAAGAGGCGAAAGTCAAGTTAGACACTGTCGTTGGACAACATGCAGTAATTTATAAATGTTTTAAATCAGGTTGGGTCTGTATTAGCCAGCAGGTGGGTCCGCTAATCTGTGACCCCCGGGATTAGTCAAGTACAGGACTAGACTGTAGATTTGAAAACTGATCATTAGGAACATTTTCATCTGAACCTCATTAAGCTTGAACTGTTCTGCAATTGAGATTGGGCAAATTAATCTGTCTTCATGTGCAAAGATGGAGTCATAACCCACCTAAAAGCATAACAGTGACTGTCCACTTTATATCTATGCCCTTCTTTAACTTGCCCTTGCACATAAAGTCTCACATTGACATTAGTTGTTATAATGTGACAAAATCTATAAAACTTTAAGGGACAGAAATACTTTTGGCAGCGCACGGTAGACGGACCACGCATCTGCCATCATCCAGACACACACAGGCCACACTGCAGCCTCTGTGTTGCATAGCTAAAGGTTTTATATCCACTGTTTGTTTCTATTCAGCGCAGTTCATTTGTATGCTATGGGATGCACTGGCAGAGGCTCTGAATGAGCAACCAGGGCAGTTCTGAAGTCAACTGAAGCAGCCAGACCAGACAACACGTATGGGAGGGAACCTAAAAGAGGAAATCTGGGTCAGGGTGGGAGTTCTGCATGGCTCATAAGTCACTAGCACTATTAGTTTTGCAAGTAAATTTAAATTCTTGGAATGGAGTAAACCTGTTAGGCTGAGGCTAAAATCTGCAGGGGAATGAAAATAACTCATTAAGCTGTGGGGTAAGATTCTTTATTCGCAAATGTGCTCCGAAACTTACCGGAAAGAAGGGAATAGGGAAAAATAATCCTGTTTTCCAGAACTTTCCTAACATACCTTAAGCTGGAACAAACGTGCTCCCAAAACAGGAACAAACTTTGCTCGTAGCCGGCAAGAAAAATGTAAACTTATTGAAACTGGCATGTGTGATAAACAATTCAGAGGGAACTCAAACAGACATTAGCTCGCTTAAGCATGAACATATGCACACGAATACGCTCATGCACGGGGTGACATGGGATTGCCCTTGAACAAATACATGCAGAGACACATGCATAAACACAGCACTATAATAAGTCCCAGACTTAGGCTAACCGAGCTGTGGCTGGAGACACAGGCTATTCATATTCCTCAGAATGAGAGGTTACAGCTTCGTCCTTTTCCTTTTTACTGTTGCAAAGGAAGGACATGTGAGTGTGTGATTACACTCAGCTTTTGTGGCCAAAGGTCTCAGGCAGGTTGATTAGCATCTGAAAAAGACAGGTTTCATTTAGCGCTGAGTTTACTGCGCATACGGTCGAAGAGAGAGTCAGAAACCAAGCCGTCCAAGAATCTGGGAAAACACCCTTCATCAGATTCAGCCTCAGCGCCCAACTTCTGGCACGTCTCAGCTAATATGTGAGGAAAACACTGAAGGAAAACCATTCGAAACCATTTGTCCCACTAAACGGTGCCCTTGTCAAGCTCCCCAGGCTTTCCTGTTAAGCTTTTAAACTGCCCAGTCCAGCTGAGGGATATATTTTACTCTGCTGATAATAACAGAGCAGCAGAAAATGTGGCACAACAGTAGTCCTCGCCGCATTGTGTTTCTGGCACGTTTTAGTCATTTGAAGATGAAAAATGATCCACGCCACGCCGACAGTCAAGTTCCGGGTCGGTGTGGCTAGAAAGGCCAGGAAATGAAAGGATAAAACACGGATGACTTATAGAACAGGGAGTCTTTCTCCACACCGCAGTGTTGTTGGAGGTCGAATATTTCAAATTATTTTATTTCCTCTATCCATCATTTTATACTTTATGTCAGAGCATGCTTCTTTTAATTTATTTATAAGTTGCCAATTTAAACCGCCGGTAATAAATCAAGTTTGATCATTTTAAAAATAACTTTTTAACCACTTTCAAATTCCTACTGTGTTTATTATTTTGACAAATGTTTATATTTAATTTTAAGTTTGAATAAGTACAAGGTTATAAAAGTTTTGGATTTTTCTTTCTGTTTTTTTCTTTCTTTGTTTTACACCATTTTATTCTGTTACTTAGTTTTAAAATAAGTTAAAAATAAGTCAAACTTATCTCGAAATAAGTTTGTTTCCATAAGTTTTTATTTCATTAGGCTCAGTTTTAGTTAGTTTTCATTAATTATAGGTTCGGTATTAGCTTTTTCATAATTCGGTTAACTTTTAAGTGCAGAATTTAAAAAAGGGCATTGTTATACTAAATAAAGGTTTGCATATAAGCAATAAAAACTTAAATGAAATATATATATATATAAAAAAAAAAAACTGGATCAATTGCAGCTGATTTTAACCGAATCCCATTAGAAAAATTAAACACTTTTTAAAGGCTTTTTAAGGCTGAAAATTAAAATTGATCTCCATGAAAACAAAAGATATTTTTCTATAATTTTAGTATCTTTTTTTATAAACACACAATAGATTTTGATTAATTATATTTTCCCCCCAATGAATTACACATTATATTTATTTAAATTAACCAAAATGTATTGTACATTTCAGTTTTCATTTATTTCTATTAGTTAGCTATATCAGCTAACTGTAACCCTGCAGAATATTAACAAAATGCACTTTTCAAATGTTTTTTTAGGTCTAATTTCTGCCTGTCCCCCAGAATGAACAAATCATTTAAAGGAAAAGTTCTGATAATATGAGTTATATACAAACATATCCCTCAATCTAATTAACTTTAGGGACATAACAAATGCACTGGCATCATTTTCTCTTTAAAAAAAATAGGGGTTACAGTGATTCTTCTAGATATTGGGACTCCAGCAACCAACAGTAAAATACATACATAATTTACCGGTACATCAGTAGGAAAATTCAATAACTGCAAACCCAAATTAACACAAGAGTTTGACCCAAAACTTTAGGAAACATCTTCTGAGGAGACAGGAGAGGAGCTTCCTGGAAGATGTAAATCCAATCACATGTGGCTTAAAAGAAAACATGGTATTTTAGAAAAACAGAAATGAACTTTTTTTTTATTTTGGCATCAAAAACTTTAATCCGATTTCA